CCCCGGGTGCTGCCCTGCAGCCCCTCTGGCCCCGCCGGCTTCTCCCTCCCTCCCGGCCGAGCCCCCGGGCTCGGAGCGCTCCCTCAGAGCAAACAGCAGTACCAGCTCTGCTTGGGGATAACTCACTGCTCTTTTGTCCCTTAAATGACGCCAGTCAGACAGAAAAGGGGTTTGGGTTTCTTTCCAGATCCTTCAGGAAAACTCATTTTGACTGAATAAGCAGGCAGAAGTGAGGTATCTCGAGTTTTTATTTCAATCCTACTCCACAGGAAACAATATCCACTAGTGTTACCTTTCTTACATTTGTTTTTAATTTTTTTCCAATACTGTGTTAAATATAAAATACTGGTTGAACAAGAACGGAGGGTGAAAAGTAGAGGACGCTAAAAAGATCACTCAAATCCTCATTCACGGACATCCTGAATGCTACAACTCATTTAAAGTTAGTATAAAACAGGGTGACAATCAGATAACATTTCCCCCGGTCCTCCACAATGCTTTACAAGGAAACGACTTAGAAAGCAAGAGAAGACAGAGAACCTATCAGCCACGGAGACTCCTGCTCGGCAAATCAAGGGTCTTTGCAAAATGGCTGGATTTCAAGCCAAGGTAGCGATGTTCCCCGCACCCTCTAGCGGACTTGGTCCCCAGTGCCCACGACTGCTTCTCAAAGCCTGCCCTGAACCGGGTTTCCAGCAGGCTGAGACCAAGCGGCCTTGACAATGCTGGCTGAAGGAAGGCCCTTCCCGTCCCTGCTGTCCCTTTGCCTCGGGAGTCCCCCAGAGCCAGATTTAGGGCTGATCTCCCCCAGATCCCCAGCGCTAAAAGTCCTCAATGGCAAAACAAGCTTCCCAGACAACTCACATGGGATGAAGCCCCCAAGCGAGATATGATGGTGCTCCCTGGTCACCTTTGTCACCAGGAGATATTTGCCCAGCAGAGGAGACAGGTTGAGGACTGCTCACTGCACAGTGTGTCCTTAGTGTGATCTGGTGATAGAGGAGGAAGGGACCTGAGCCAAAGTGGCTCTGGGAACACAGTCCCCCAGATTCAGGAAAGTCAAAAGTGTTTGTAAAGCACTGATCATCTTCAAAGCACTTTACAAAATGCTCACGTTAGCCCTGTGAGGTAGGGCCGTAGCTTCACCCCCATTTACAGATGGGCAAGCTGAGGCACAGAGAAGGGTAACGACTTGCCAGAGAGCAAGTCAGCAGCAAAAGTGGCAGCTCATGTTCTGGGTTCACATATCCCTTGATTCCAACCCAAAATTTGCTCCACAAACAGCCAATTACTCAATTCACAGCTTTATCTTCTTCTCCAATGAGTAAAACAGAGAACAGCCAAGGGCAAAGAAGCAAGAACTGGGTCCTGGAGGGTCTGAGGAGAAGCAGCAATGGAGATACCCGCCTCATACTGGCTCGTTCACCTCCAGGGGCCCTGAGACTGGACCAGTAACTTGCTGCATGGGGCACAAAGCTGAATCGCTCGCCTCCGCACGGCTCCAGGCTGGGGCACCCTTCACTCTCCTGGGGACCAGGCAGGCAGGGAGCCTGGCTCCTAGGCTGGGCTGCTAGAGAAGCAGGCACTGGAGGACTGTAAATCTCCTTCGCTTGCCAAGTCCAGCTGAGGCTGCTGCAGCTGCAGTGAATCAAAGGGACAAGCGGAGCCCATGGGCAATCGATGCATTTAGGGGCTTGTGAGGAATTTGCAGGCAAGGCTAAGGGGAGAGGCGTCAAACCCGAGCAGCGAGCAGCCCCTGCTGCCAGCAGCACTGCTGGCATAGCTGGGAGGTGGGATCACACGGGATTTTCCTGAGGCTTGGCTGGCTGGCGTGTTCTTCCAGTAGCACCGTTGTATCTAAGAAATTGCCAGCACCAGAACTGGGGTTCTCGCAAGGTTTTGCTATAACTTCTTGGTGAATAATATCCTCCCTATTTACAGAAGAGAAAGTGAAGCACCAGGCACCAAGTGGCTCATCCAAGGTTGTGCAGCAGTCGGTGACAGCAATGTGTGTGCCACCCGGCAGCCTTGCTTCCCAGTCCTATCTGCACCGGAAGGCGTGCAGTGCCCTGCGCACCCTGTGCATCCAGTGCAGCTCCTGGTCCTGCCACCAGCCCCGGCCACGGGGCCCAGGGAGACCCTGCGGAGCGGAGGGCTAGCGGGAACGGCCCCAGTGCTCCAGGCTCGTCTTGGAAACTTGGGCAGCGGGAAGGGATTAGAAAGGAAATTTGCTGCAGCTCGGTTAGGTTAGAGACATTTCCGTTTCACTGCTCAGCAGGAGTCGCACAGATCTGCGACTCTCTTTTTACATGGTTAAAACGAAGGCTGAAGCTGAACACTTTTGGACTCCAGGGATGCATGGCTCCGCTTTCAGCTGGGTCCTGCCAGAAAAAAGCGGCAATGCATTGCTCAAAGAGCCTGTTCTTGGAGAGGAGCCTGCTCCAAGGCTCACGTTCCCGGAGAGCTGAGCTTTGGGACCACAGCGGGCACCTGGCCGCGCAGCTTGGCTTTGCAAACAGTCAGGCAAGAGAGGAGTGCAGTCCTCAGCAGCAGATGGAGGAAAACGAGCCTTCGGCCCCGTCCAGGGAGGAGCAGAGTGCTGTAGCACTTACACGCTCGGACCTGGGGGCGTGCAGCCTGGCACGGACACTTCCCCACCCCTCGGCCCAGGCGGCCAAAAACAGAAGAAAGCAGGCTGTGTCCTCCTTGTCCTGCCTTGGAAAAACCCACAGTGGCAGTGATTCATTCACAGAGGGCTCCTGCTCGTCAGAAGCACGTGGAGCCGCCCAGCGCTCCGAAATCTCTCCCCGGTGGCTGTTTCCTTCCTACCTGCCGAGTATCGGGCCGGCTCCTGGCCCCCCCGCGGCCAAAACCACCCGGCGAGTTTTTTTGCTCCTGGGGCAGCAGCTTCTGGAGGGCAATAGCCATCTTGTACACCGAGGTCTCTCCCTCCTGGCCGAGGGCTGCCCCTTGCTCTGTATCTACCAACCGTGACCGCTTCCTTACTGCCCCGTGGAGTTATGTAGTCCTGCCCAGGTGTTTAAAAAGAGTATCGCTAGGTCCTCTCTGCCCTCACTGCTCATCTCCAAGCCTCCCGCAGATGTGTCCTTTCCCTGCAGCGTTCCTGGGAATGCCAGAAATCCTCCCAAGAGGGGATTTAGTCTGACAACCAGCAAGAGACTGGAGCAAACCAAGAAGCTACAAAATGGGAGAAGAGAAGGCCGGCAGCCCCTTAATCCTGATACAAAGGGGTTCACTTCCCTCCCTTGAGGACCCAAAGGAAAAAAAACTGATATAGATCGACTGAATCCAGCCAGATGGATGCCAAGAGCCAAATTCTCCCTCTCCTCCCTGCTGGACAAAGGCACGCGCGTGGCAGACGCTGGGAGCGGGGACCTTGCTTTTCTGGGCTGCCACTGCAACCACGGCCGGAGAGAAGAACAAAGTGCTTCATAGAGAAAACGTCGGTCCGGGCTCTGCGTGCCCGTCCAGAAGGAACATATCAAGTTGTACACTTAATACTGGCTTAGATAAAGAGTTTTCCAGTGCTCGGGGACTCTGGGGAGACCTGGAATGGGTTCAGGTTTCAATCACATGTAAGGCTTTGTTGACTCTGGACCTTCCAGTTGAGAACTTGGGAGGGGGAGGTTAATGCCAAAATGATTTATGAGCAAACCCCGGCCGAGCGCTGGTGCCGGCTCGCAGCCCCCTCCTGGGGGCTCGCTTGGGCGGCAGCGTGTTTGCTTCCTGATGTAGGCTGCTTAGGACGTGGGCAATTCCGCTGAGGAATCTCGTTGCATGCTTTAAAAGCCCTCCGAAGTCACAGGAGGAAAACGCAGGGTTCCCAGACTGCCTCTGTTAGCAGATGCGTAAGCAGGAGCTGGGAAATGGGGTGACAAGAGAGCCCCGAGAAAAGGGCCACATCTCTCGTGCCCTAACCAGGAGCCACCCTTGGCTTCCCCCTGTCTGGTCCTTCCAGTCCCACGTTCTCCCTCTTCCCCAGACCTGGCTATATTTGCTCTCTCGGCTGCAAACCAGCCCCAGACACTGCTGCGTTGACTTCTCAGCCAAGGCGAAGCCTGGTTTCCATCTGCAGCTCCAATAACAGTAGCAGGACCTGCCAGTGCTCAGCACGCCGGAGATCAGGTCCTGCACCCCCCCCCCCAGCCACATCCATCCCTGCCTAAGAGGGGATTTATCCGGGACAGCCACTGCACGATCGGACCTTGGGGCCAGTCTTTCCTGTGGGAATGCTCTGTGTAAGGGGAATGCGGTCCCTAGACCCCCCCAGGCACACACACCAGGTGAGACACCTCACATTCCTTGTCACCCTCCTCACAAACCCCTTGCACCTCATTCTATGGCCCTGAGTCACCAGACCAAGGTTGGGTCCAAAAGCAGCTTCTCACCTCACGTGGCCCAAGCTGAGGGCCCCAGTAGCTAAACCCAGGGTGGTCGTAGCCAGGGGTGTGCAGAGCCCCCAGGTCCCACGGGATGCTTGGGGACAGCTAGGTGAACAAAGCTTTTGGGGCAAACCTCCCTGAGACCCTGGCAGGTGGCCCCACAGCCCCTTGGCTGGTGACCATGTTACAAAACCTTTGCCTACAAAAATAGACAGTTCTCAAGATTAAAAAAGAAACCTGTTCAAAATCAATCTTCAGGCTCTTCTCTCTGTGCAGGAAGGGTGCCAGAATGTCGCTGCCTGCAGGGAGAGCAGGTAATGGGGGTGGCTCTGTGGCAAGTCCGTGGTCCGAGCTCCTGCTCCCTGCTCCCCCTCGGTCCCCCAACATGCCGGCTGGTGTCAACAATGTCTTTAAGGTGTCTATCGGGATGTTTTGGCCTCCAGCGCGTCAGGCCGGTAGAGGTACCTCCAAATGGCATAGTAGTGGATACCAGCTCCGATGGCCACAAAGAGGTGCCAGATGGCATGGGCGAAGGGGATGCGGCCGTCGCTTTTGAAGAAGACCATGCCCAGGCAGTAGAAGAGCCCGCCAGCCACCAGCTCCAGGAGGCCGTCTCTGTTGGGCTGAGAGCAAGCACGGAGGCAGGGGTCAGCAGGAGCCACGCTGACCTACTCGTTCGTTCCTGCCCTGTCTCCGGAGCACGATCAAGACCGAATAGCGACGATGGCTGAGAGACGCGAGCAGGCCCTTTGCCTTCCCGTCTACTACACCCTCTCCTCCAGCAAGGGAGCATGTGGCCCAGGAGCACGGCTTTCCTGGGACCCTTTCAACACAAGGGCATCCAGACAGTAGGTCCACTGGAGAAGCCTAGTGATACGCATGAATGTCTGCAGGGCACCAAAACACTTGCAGAACTGCACCAAGGCACATTGTACCTGGGCATCGCTTTATCCGTCATGGAGCTGCCTCTGGGCTGGACCACACCAGCCCATGAACAGCCAGGAGACACATCGGCCCAGCTGAGACTTGCTCTTCGGATGTTATGGACCAAAGCATTGAGCCCGTGTGCTTCCCGGGCTGGGGGACTTACCATGGACAGAATGACCAAGGCAGGGAAGAATCCCATGATAACGTAACACACCAGCTCCACCAGCTTGTACCTGCAACGGAGAGAGAACAGCCGCTTGGAGGCAAGGTGTGCAGGGACTGTCACAGTTAGGCTTACAGTGACTGCCACCCTGCTATAGGAAAAGGCGAGCAGCTCTTGCCACCCCCAGCAGTGCTGGTAGCACATCCCGCAAAACCCCTCTGGCCCCCAGGACCCTCTCTGGGGTTCTCTGGAGTGCTTTGGGAAGACATTTGGAGTCTTTTTGCTTTCTATTTGGTGCCTTTTGCTTTCTAGTTGGTGCCACCACGTGGAAGAACCACCTCATGACAGCAGATCCCCTGCTCCCATGTCCAGGCCACCAGAGCTGTGGCCTCGCCATCCTCGGCCCTAAAAACAGGGTGCAGATGTGAAGGGCCATGGTGCAAGGAAGCCCTCTGCTGCCTGCTGTTCACGACACCGCCCAGACCTACCTACCTACCTAGCTGTCCATCTCCATCTTTCTTGCTCTGCCCTGCAGCTCGACTACCATCAGGGCATGAAGAGGGGATGGAAGAGCTGAACCGGGCGATGCAACGTACCCCTGCGAGCACACGGCCGCAGGAAGGCACTCACCGTTCGTGGAAGAAGAAAACGTAGACGGTCCCGATCGAGGCCATGATCCAGATGATCCAGCGCATGTGGGATGCCCAGGGGCCCAGCTCCCGCAGGTTCAGCCTGCTCGACTACCATCAGGGCATGAAGAGGGGATGGAAGAGCTGAACCGGGCGATGCAACGTACCCCTGCGAGCACACGGCCGCAGGAAGGCACTCACCGTTCGTGGAAGAAGAAAACGTAGACGGTCCCGATCGAGGCCATGATCCAGATGATCCAGCGCATGTGGGATGCCCAGGGGCCCAGCTCCCGCAGGTTCAGCCTGCAAAACCCGGGGTCTGCGCTGAGGCAGCTGCGGGGGAGCCAGCGGCGGCCGCCCTGTCCCGGCTGTGCTCTGCGGGTGCAGGGGGAAACGCTGCTCTCACCGCATGGCAAAGAAGGCAAAACCCCAAATCGTTTGGGAAGCTTCTGTGGCCGCAGCCCTGCCAGGGCGGCTCTGCAGCCCCCCCGCCACGGGGGAGAGCCCTACAGCCATCACCAGAGCGGGTATAAAGCCAGGCACCATCTCTTGGGATCACCAGGTTCGTGGCCCCCGTGCTCAGGGAGGAGCGGTCTGAGTTCCCCCCCGCGGCAGGACCCAGCGGCGGCCCCGGCCACGGCCCCCCCGGGCACTCACCAGGGCGCGTAGGAGGCCGCTATGAAGAAGTAGATCACCATCCTGTCGAACATGTGCAAGCAGTGCTCCACCGTCCTGCAGGACAGACAGACGGACGGACGTCAGGGCGCTGTCAGACCCGCTCGCCCAGCCCTGGGCAGCATGGGGGGGACGGGACGGGTGTCAGGGGGGCACAGGGCTGCACTCCGGCCACGGGGCCGCGATGTGAGCTCGGGGGCTAGGGCGGCTGCAATGCTCTGGGCTAGGGCTGGTGTGAGGCACGGCTCATCCCCGGCTCCGACTGCTCCATGGTCTACTTGCTGCTAGTGGCTTTGGGGACTTTGGCCTCTGTCTTTGGCAGGCAAAGGAGTGAGTGTCACTGGGGTCCCCGCGGCACCGCACGGAGACATCAGGATCTCGGGTCCTGAGATTTTTTTATCTGGAATATTTCATTGATTTTTGGTTTTAGTGATTGTTTTCATTGGGAAGTTTGGAGACTTTTAATGGGAAAATCAAATTGCTCTATAAAAGCAGATGCTTTTGCAAAAATTGTACTTTGTTGCAATAGTTAAGAAAAACCCCTTGACCGAGAGGACTTGGCTGAGTGAGAAGAGAGGCAGCACGTGAGCAGGCGGCAGAGGAGGAGGCAGGATCTGCCTCGCGGGGCTCAGCAAACGACTGCTCCCGGCCGCCGCCTGCACCCTTCTCTGTTCGCCCCAGCACAGCCAGGGCCGAGCTACCTGAGGTGCCTCTTCTTCCAGGAGATGGTGTGAAAGATGGTGGAGACGATGAAGAGGCTGGACAAGCCGAAACCATAGATCCAGGCCGAGATGGTTTCCCAGTGGTCGTCGGAGAGGACGTAGAGGATGGAGCTGCCGAGGATGCTGGGCAGGATCCAGAACTGGAAGGGAGAAGCACTCCTGTCGCTCGCTCACCGCCTGCGGTGCGGTTTTTCACCTCGGGCTGAAGCCACCCCGGTAAGGGTGGGCGGCAGAGAGTGACCGAACGCTTTGTGCTGGTGGTGGTTTTATTTGAACCCTGGAAATCTGAAAAAGGGGGGACCTTGCGCGGCTCGGCGGCCTGCCCACGGACCTGTCTTCGGGGGGTGACCCCCGACC